CCATAAACAATAAAATGGCCTGGAGCATAAGCAATTTTGTTAAAGTACACTTAGTGATTTTAAACATGGAAATATTAAAAAATAAATCCTCTAATAAAAATAAATTATCGACAAAATGCATAAATAAACTGTTCTCTCGTTTAAAATATCAGCACACTGTGATAAAGTTGCTAACATAGCAATTAAAAAACCAGATTATGATTAATATGAAACAGCAATGGCTGGAATAGTATGGGCTAATCTGCATGCAAAATTTTATAACAGTTGGGTTTTGAAAAGGTTTTACATTTTGCAAGGTTTAAAATTTCGAAATGAATTTACATAGTGATGAAGATATGTTCAATCAACTTGTAAGTTATCTTAAGATAAACATTTCTAATTATTTCAGAAGAAAGTTTATGTGAGGAACGTCTATGTTGAATTATTATTTGATCAGGATAAGTGTTTTTAGAAGCGTTAACACGAAATAAGATTCTTAAATATCCTAATATCAACATGTTAAAATAACATATTTTTTTTATTTATAAAGACATTTACAAAAATATACAGGCGGGTTATTTTTATTATTATGGCATTTTGGCGAGTTAGTAAATAACTTAAAAACTCTTTCCTATCTGTGTTAATAGCAATAGTGATTTTTCCTTTAGGTTTTTGTTTTTTTAGAGTTAGTGGCATTACATTGAAAGAAAACATTACAAAATTTCAGAAAGATGATAAAAATTGAGATAAACATTAAACTTTTGATATCAAACACGAGAATTTGTTTTTGAACAATGTAGTTTTTTTCGAGTTTATAAAATGTTATTTGTCAATTACTTTTATATTTTATAGTGTTAATAATTACTTTGAAGTGTATAGTTCTGAGAGTTCATATTTTAACAAAACTCTTTTATGACTACAAAAAAGATGAAAAATTATAAGTTACTTCAATGCATATTTTTAATTAAAAAAAAAAATCTATATATATATATATATATATATATATATATATATATATATATATATATATATATATATATATATATATATATATATATATATTCGGTTGGCAAAAAAAAATTAATAATATTCTTTGAATTAATTCGTTATTACCAACCCTTTAGTTAGACATAAAAATCAATAAAAGGAAAATGTTGCATATTTAGGGTAGTGTTGCCGAAATTGGAACAGCGCCAGCGAAATTGGAACACTTGCATTTATTTTTGAAAAAAAAAGAATGATGGCTGTATTTTGCATTTTTTTTTTAGTAAAATGCATTATTTTCTAAGTTTTGACACATTTTGAAAGTTATTCCTCAAAAAATTCGTTTGCACTATTATTTTAAAGATTTTTTTCGTCATTTTTTTTAGTGATCTAATTTTGTGTTCACACTATAATGATTGCACAGGGTAAACTATGGTGCCATAGGTTATACCTTTTTTTGTGTTAATTCGATGAGATTTAAATAGCAAAATCACAATATAAACTTATCTTTTAAGTTGCTGCAGTCATGTTGTTGTAGTGATATAACAAAATAGTCGAAATTTTCTATGATTGGAACATTGAAGTTTTCCTTACCTAATCAGTAATAAAATCAAAGGGATGTAAAAATAGTTCGAGTGCAATTAAAAAAATACTTTGTAACAACCCTAAACCTTAAAAAGAAAACTTTATTTAGACATTTTTAATCAATAAATTAAGAGAACGTCATAGCAATTGGAGCTTTATACAATTTTTTGTTTGTAGACTTTAAATTTGTCAGGCTAATACTAATCCTATAATAAGTTTTGATTTAACTGTTTAAATTTTCACTGTAAAGAGGAAAATCATATTTTACAAAAATTTGTTGATTTTCTTTTTTTTTTTTTTTTTAAATATATATATATATATATATATATATATATATATAATATATATATATATATATATATATATATATATATATATATATATATATATATATATATATATATATATATATATATATATATATATATATATATGTAGTGATGTGGTGATGCTATTTTGTGCATATACTATCAAGAAAGTGCTCGATAAACTAAGTCTGAGATTTAATATATATATATATATATATATATATATATAAATATATAAAGTAGAAAATAAAACTACGTGATTTCACGAAAATAAGTTTCTATTGAGCAACCACAAACCTGAAGATTAAATACACGCGGTCGTAACAATAAAAAAAAGTTTTTCGGTATAGTTTTTTCAATTGTATATAATTTTTTAAACGAACAAACTATATTTGTATTTCACCTGATGATTGTAACAGTATGAAACTTAAAGTTGTGAAAATCATGAAGTTTTATTTTCTACTATATATATATATATGTATATATATATATATATATATATATATATATATATATATATATATATATATATATATATATATATATATATATATATATATATATATATATATATATATATATATATATATATATATATATATATATATATATATATATATATATATATATAATATATATATATATATATATATATATATATATATATATATACACTCTTAAAAAAGTTCAGGCAAACTCTGGCCGGAATGGTTCAGGTAGAAAGATTTACCTGAACATTCAGGCAATTAAATTCAAACATTCAGGCAAATTGCCGTAAAAGTTCAGGTATTTTAGCAAACCACCTGAACACTTTGTGTAAAATTCCTGAAATGTTCAGGAAAAAGTAGTTTCGTCAACTTTTCTACCGGAATGTTCAGGTTCTTTACCGGAAACATCAAGTAAATTGCCTGAAAATGTAAAAAAATTTTACACGCCAGCGGCAATCGCCATTAAACTTTTTAGAGGTCGCATGTGCATGCATTCTCTTATTTAAAATTTTTTTAAAAAAAATGAGCTTTAAAAAGTTGTCAGAGTTACAGTTAGCAGAGTATTTGTTATCAAAAGGAATATCTATAGATGCTACAGAAAAGCTTAAAAGTAAGCTACCTTTTCATCTTTTTCCGAAAATATTTCGCGTACGTACGTAAAAGAGATGTGTATTGTGTATATAATATATATAGTCTTGAGAACAAGAGTAGTGTATATATACTTCTCTTTCTCTATATACTATATATACACTTCTCTTGCTCTCAAGACATGTTTGAATTATATACATGTATGAGTGTATAGATATAAAGAAGGTAAGGTATAAACATATGATATAGTATATCATATTATTAACATATATACTATTTAATATATAGTATATATATAATATATATCATGTCACTATATATCACTGTATATACTATACATATATACTATATATATATATCATGATAATATATTATATAAATAGTTTATTTATAATATAATTATAATGATAATATATTTATCATATTAGTATGATATACACTATATATAGTGTATATCATACTAATATGATAAATATATTATCATTATAATTGTATTATAAATAATATAGTATATTAGATAATAATAGTATAATAGTATTGTATTAGATAATAATAGTATATTAAATAATATAATATAATAGTATACTACAATATAATATTGAAATAGTATACTATATCGATATATTGTATACAATATGATATCGATATAATATACTATTTCAATATTATATTGTAGTATACTATTATATTATATTATTTAATATACTAGTATATTATAATATTATGATAATATATTATACCGATACGATAAATAATTGTGATTTTAAAATGAATACAGAATGTGACTATAGACTATATGGTGTTTATTATAAAAGTTATGTATTATATGATGTGTATAGTTTATAAACTTTACAAATAAAAAGATGTGCATACAATGAAATTTATTAGTTTCATTGTATGTATATCTTTTTATTTATAAAGTTTATAAATTATACACATCACATACTACATAACTTTTATGATAAACACCATATAGAATGTGATGTGTATAGATGTCAAAATATATTTATATTAGTTATCATATCGATATAGTATATTATAATAATATGTTAAATTTACAAAGTCTAACTTAGTTCAACTAAGTTTAAGTTTGTAAAAAAAAAAAGAAGTAAATAATTAAAGTAAATAAGTAATAGATTTGCACTTGGATTTTTGAACTCTACTATTTTTATAAAGTGCTGGTTGCAATAATTATATACACAAGTAACAAGCAAATGAAGCACTGCTAAAATTTTCCATGTATCCAAGAATTGCACGTAGCCCTAAATTATCACCAACAACTTGTGTTAAAAAACAACGAAAATTTATCTATTTTCCATCACAAAAAATAGTAAAGCCCTCATCATGTAAGTCTTTTAATTGCTGAACAATAACTTCCATAACAGGATCAGTGGTGTGCCGTTTAATGTCTTCCAAATGTGCCAAGGCCAACAAATGAATATTGCTTAATGCAGAATTTGCAGCTGGTGGAAAGTTTTTTATTGTGAAATAAAATGCACCTAACTTATGTATTCCAGTTTTGGATCCAAGCGGATTTGTTGTCTCTACCTCATCAAAATAAATCTGAATAAATACATGAATGCTGTTAGGAAAATAATGTTTGGCACATGTTTTTAGCTGTCTCCCATGCTTACCGTCTAACCAATCTTCTGCTATATCATTTGCTGACTCATTGTTTCTTTTTAAAATTTTCCAAGTCTCAGGTTGTCGCAAAACCAATTTCAAAGTTTTCTCAATTGGTATAAGGTAAAATTTATTTTTTACACACACCTGCATTTGTTGCTTTGTTGATCTGTCTCGCTTAACATCCCACCGATCTCCTATTGAATGTGCTTCAGGTTCAACATAGAGACCTTTTACTTTAAGATAATTCAACATTTTATAATGACTATCAATGCCTTTAAAAGGATTTTTCCAGTTGTTAAATTCTTCTGAAAGAGTATTAAATGTTGCGGCATCACATCTGTATGTTTTTAACACAACGTCTGTCTTGGCAAGCAGATAATTAATAATATCCTTTAACAACTCATTTAAACTATCCATTATGAACTGAGATACGCTTAGAGAAATGGAACTAGAAGATTGCAGAGACATCAAAAATTTTAATGCTGCGTGTGAAACACCATACTTGTCTACAATAGGTGCAATAAAAACACTTTCTTTTGCTACACTTTCTTTTGTTAAACTTTCAGAATATAAAACCTCATTGTAATCTTAAGCTAAGTATTCATTTTCTGTATTTTGGATAGTAATATCTGAATGTTTATCAACTTCTTTCAAATTATTATGACACATATGTTTTTTTAATGTTTACGTAACACGTTATAAAGTGTGAATGTGCGCATGTTATAAACTAATATTTTCATATATATGAAAATATTAGTTTATAACAAATTATTTATAAAGTTATTTATAAAAATTATCAAACATTTGCTTATAATAAATTTTAAATATAAAAATATTTTTGTTAATATATATGTTTTAGGTATCCTTCAACAAAAACCAAATCTAATCTTGCAAAAGCAGTTATCACTGCCTTTCCAAAGCTGCATTCTGGTGGAAAACTTGGATATGTGAGACTATTAGAGACATTTTACTAATTTTTTCCCCTTATATATTTCACCTCCCCAAAATAAGGGCCACTTCAGTCGAGGAGGATACTAATTATTACTAGTAGTAAACTTATCATTGTTATAAGTAGTAGTATCTTTACAATTTGTCAATTATAGGTCAAGTTGTCTATAAGGTAATGAAATCTAATTTTACAAAAAAATATTATTTTAAGGAAAACTATTATAGTCTATATACAGAACTTGTAATGGGTAATAAGAAAAAGAAGGTCACTCCTCATGGCCACATAGAAGAGAGACTGAAAACTATGCGTAAACATGTTGGTGTTCATTTTCAAGCTCGTCGAAAGAGAGTTATTGTTTTAGCAGAAGAGTTCCACTCATCAGGTACTTTAATGCTTAGTATATTTTTCATGCACTCTTTCTTCATTTAATTAAGACATTTACCTAATACTCAATATTGTAATTAGTTTTCCTAATAAATTATATAAACAATTAGCAAATAAACAACTAGCTAAAAAAAACATTTTAAATATATCTAAAGATTGTAAAATATTTTTAATTTATAAATTTTTTTTTTTTTAGCACCTTTTTCAAAAGAAGAACTAAGTATGATTGCAGAGTTGAGATTTGATGACTTAGGCTATGAAAAAAAGTTGGACTATATGGAAAAAACTTCATGCTCTCGTCGAAAATGGATTGTGAATTGTAGGCCAACATTTGATGATTTACTCAAAACATTTCCGCCACTAAAAGATCTATCCATACACGTAAGAATAAAAATCATCGTATTATCATTCAAACTTTTCACCAATAAATATTAAAAATTATTCAAACACAAAAATGAAATGTCTTGTAATTCATAGAAGATACATCTTGTAATTTTTATATATTAGACATATAGGTTTTGTTGAAGTATTATAAAATGAAAGAAAATTTTACTAACAGTTTTATACTATATTCCTATCTTAGTTTCAGAAAGATTTCTGTTGCAATTTCGCAGAGTTGAATGATTTTTTGGCTCAATGGGAGTTAATAACGCCACATGTTATCTCTTGGACAAGGCAAAAGACAAATTTGATGGTCAAGCAGATTCTTGCTGAGCTTGATATGCAAGACAACCCTTCTGTAGGTACGTAAGTGTTATCTAAACAATATGGCTGGGTGTATTACAGATATCTAAAACCATTCTAATAAATTATAAATTGATAAAATGATTTCACTAAATTTTTATTTTATTTTTAATTCAGGAATTGAAATGGATTTTGCATTGTTATTACTCCCCTTTATAATTAAAGTACCATCAAAGAATAAAAGTTGTGCATCAGCTGCTGAAGTTGCAGAATATTTCATTCAATTTTATCCGGTATATTGTAATATTAGATTCTATTAGATATAAATTTATACATATTAAGTATAATATTAAGTTTGTATTAATAGGCATAATAAAATGTATTTAATAACTATACATGTTATTTACATTATTATACAGAAAAATGCCCCGTTGAGAGTCGGACTCTCAAGGGAAGGGGAATACATAAATAGTTTGACTTAGCGAATGTCCGAGTTATGCGAAGTTCTGGGTATGTAGAGAGTTCAAGGGGAATTGAAAATCTGTACGACTTATCCAAGGTCCAAGTTAACGGGATTCTACTGTATTTTTAGTCATTAAATATAGTAAATATAGTATTAGTTCTAATGGGCTGACATTTATATTTATTTTGTATCAAAATTACCTTTTTTAATGACTTATTTTAATTTCATTTCTACATATAAATAGGCATTAACTCCGATGGAAATTGTGCTTCAAAGTCTTACTCACTAGCATCCGTTAGTCATAGCTTGGGTACTCATTGCAGTGTCGGTCAATTATTTATTGTTACAGAGTGTCGAGTTATTCCTGTCAACAGATGTATATCTTATGCTGTTGACATCTTAATTAAACTTTATTTTTTAATGAACATGGAGTATGCGGAACAATGTAGCCACATATTGTACTTTTTGCAGCATACCGTGTTAGGTTACCAAGATGAAATGCATCTATCGAGAGGAGCGAGTGACTTGTCCCTTTACCTTAGACAAAAACTTAATCAATTTTAAACGCAGAAACAATTATATTTTGGTTATTATTTGCTACATGCATTGTTATTGCTATATTGCGTAAATTTGTATAAATTATACTTTTAAATATATTGACTTTCTGAAAATAAAATATCGTTTTTACAACTAAACCGTGTTAATTTATAATCACGATTTTGAATTTTTACTATCTTCAGGCCTAATAAAAACTAATACCGCTTTTACGCTTAAACCAAGTTAGTTTATAATCGCGGTTTGGAATATTTACTCTTTCAGGCAAAATACCTAAACTACTTCGTGCCGTATGGAACCAGACGAACATTCAGGTAAAATACCTGAATCTGAACTGGTTCAGGTTTAGGTGTTTTACCTGAACCTGAACTGGTTCAGGTTCAGGCATAATACCGGAACCGAAAAAGTTCAGGTTCAGGTAAAAATCCTGAAACAGTTCAGGTATTTTACCTGAATGTTCGTCTGGTTCCATACGGCACGAAGTAGTTCAAGTATTTTGCCTGAAATTTCCGTCAATTTACCGGAACTTTTTTAAGAGTGTATATATATATATATATATATATATATATATATATATATATATATATATATATATATATATATATATATATATATATATATATATATATATATATATATATATATACCCTATGAGCAAAATGAGCTCTCGCGGAGCTCTTGGAGCTCTACAATAAACTCCGTTTGGAGAGTAGATAGAAGAGTAAATTTTATTATGTGTATTATATTGATTTAATTTCACTTTTTATATGAAAATGTTGTACTCTATGCTTAGTTTGTCTTTTTAAGGAATGAATAAAATTTTTTAAGTACATAATATTACTTTCAGTTTATTCATTTTAATGAGTAGTCGAGTAGAGCTCTTTGCAGAAATTTCGTTTATAAATTTTTTTTTTGTTAAATGCGCGAAATGCGGCTTTGAGAAGCATGCGCTTGATTTTATGCGTTACATTTCATAATTTCACGAGGAGAAAATATATATTTATGTGCTATTTTATTTTTTGTAATTAAATTATTTGAAATTTTGACAAAATATACTCCACAAGTAATATATATTGCTCGTTTATGGAGGATTTTAGGGTTTGAATTTTATTTTCGTAAATATTTTGTGTATTTAATATTTAAATTACAATATAATGTATATAAATGTTCATAACACTATACTATAGTGTTATGAACAGTTGTATACTATTATATATAACAAAAATCAAACAATATTATTAAAAATGTTGTTTTAATCATTAATTTTAATAATAGTCTATAGTCTATAGACTATAGACTATAGTATAGTCACTATACTATAGTTTATAGCTCTATAATTAGTTGTTTATAGCACTATCATAATTATAGTGCTATAAACAAACACTGAGTGTTTTAAACAAACACTGATAATCAATTACTGTCAGTCTGATTAAAACAATACTTTTAATAATATTGTTTGTTTAATTTTTGTTAATTGAAATTATATATATATATAATTTATAATATATATATATATATATATATATATATATATATATATATATATATATATATATATATATATATATATCTATATATAGATCTATATATATATATATATATATATATATATATATATATATATATATATATATATATATATATATATATTGAAATTATATTGTTTAAACTAAATTATATATTGTTTTAGTTATATGAAACTACTTTAACGTAACAAGAATTATACATTATGTAATGTTAAATCTTTGACTACAAATATATAATTATACACCAGTCAATATAGCAATTTTTAATAGTGACAATGACAAATTTTTTTTTGAAGCAAATATGAACAAGAGAATTAGTTTTCATGAGCTATCACGCTCACAAGCTTACAAAAGAATGAAATATCACAGAGAGCAATCTACAATAGAGCATAGCTCCGATACAGACTCTAGTAATGGTAATGCAGATTTTGAGGTTTTAGATACTGAAGTACTTCACCGTCAAACTGAAGTTGATTCACCTTTACCAATATTGCCACCTATGCAGACACCGCCTTTCCAAACACTAGTTCCTCACATACCTCCACCTATTCCAGATGATTCATCAAATGTAGACTTGTTTTCAATTGATGAAGAAGTAAATATTAGACAAGAGTTAGCAACGCTTGTGGTTGAGTCAGCTCTAACTGAAAAAGCAACCAATAAACTACTAAAGTTATTAAGAAGGCATTAATTGAAGAAAAAAAATTGAATTAAAAGAAGGCAAAATTACTGATAAATTGCCAAAAACACGTAAAGCGTTAATAAAAACTCTTACAAACAAAGTAGAGATACGTGAAATTCCTCCAGGTCATTACCACCATTTTGGAATCAGATCAAGAATAATAGAATCACTTCAAGAAACAAATGATATTTTGGATGGTGGCAGTATTCTTGAAATATTAATAAACATTGACAGTGTTAGCATAAGTAAAAGCAGCACGAGTCAATTCATGTCAATATTAGGGAAAGTGAGCAATTTGAATTCTGTATCTGTGTTTAAAATTGGTATATTCCATGGATTTAAAAAACCTGAATCATTAAATTTATAC